ACATTAGTTGTCAACTCTTGGATGGTTGCAACGCGATTAGCAACGAATGTGTTCAAGCTAGATGAATGCATTCGCAGCCAATGAAGCACCACCTCAGAGTCTGACCAAAATGTGACTTGATTAATAGGACAATCAAGTACTTTCCTTACCGCATCCCATAAGGTAGCTAACAATTCTGCAGCACACAACTCCAGCCGCGGAACAGATTTTGTTTTCAAGGGCGCTACCTTAGATTTAGCGACTAGCAGCCTGGTAGTGATACCCTTATCTGTTTGCATTCTTACGTATAAACAACAACCGTAAGCTCTCGTTGAGGCATCAGCAAATCCATGGATTTGACATCCTTTCGATTTAAGTGTGCCAACGTAACGAGGTATATGCAACGAGTTTAGATTTGAGAAACAGCTAGTTACTGCCTCAAATTCTTGCCTCATTTGAACAGGCAATTGGTCATCCCACCCAAGTTTGTGCAACCACATTTCCTGTAAAAGGACCTTCGCACGAGTTACGATCGGACTTAACAAACCTAAGGGGTCGTATAACCTTGCTACAAATGACAAAACGGATCTTTTGGTCTGTTGAACTTCTACTGGACAGTTCATGGAATATCTAAAGCTGTCATTCATTGGATTCCAAATTAATCCCAATGTTTTTGTGTCCTCTTGATGACCAATAACTATATCGTTTCTAGCTGGTTGTGCTGCGAGTTGTTTACAATTGGACGACCATTTTGTGAGAGGAAATCCAAACTTTTGAAGAATTGCGATCAAGTCTCGATGCAACAAGCACAATTCTTCGACGCTATCTGCTCCTGTCAACAGGTCATCAACATAGAAATCTCGGGCTAACGATCTTGCAGCAGCTGGATGAGTGGAAGCATGCAAGTCGCTTAGATGTTTTAAACATCGAATTGCTAAGAATGGAGCAGTCGCTGTCCCGTACGTTACTGTGTTTAATCGAAAGATTTGTAACGGATCAGTGGGCGTTTCCCTCCACACAATAAGTTGAAAGTTGCGGTGGGACTCGTCAAGTTCAATTTGACGGTACATTTTAGCGATGTCTGCTGTAGCAGCCCAAGGACGAAGTCGAAATCTTAGCAAAGTCTCCCATAACTGCGGCTGGATGGTCGGACCCACCATGAGTAGATCATTCAGCGACAATTGAGAGGAGGACTTGCTAGAGGCATCAAACACTACTCGAAGTTTAGTGGATGCGCTGTGCGGTCTTAGCACGCATTGATATGGGATGAAATAATGCGGCTCTCTCGGAATTTGATTGTTAGTTGGGCTCATGTGACCCAAGGCCAAGTATTCTTTCATAAAGTCAATATACATTGGCCGAATGTCTTCTTGCTTGCTCATTCTTCTTTCCAAGGCCAGAAATCGTCGCTTGGCTGTGTCGTAAGACGTACCAAGACAATGTGGGCTTGATTTGAATGGCAGCGACACTCTGAAACGACCCGAGGTAGTTTGGCCAATAGTCTCCACAAATGACTTCTCGCACAGTTGTTGCTCTGGGGTATACAAATTCGAATTAATTGTATTTGGCTTTTCTTCCAACTCCCAGAACTTGCGAACTATTGAATCTATAGCTATGTCGTCGTTTACGACGCTAATGAAAGTCGACGAACTAGTAGCTGCATTCAATGTTCGGCAGCGACCAGATACAATCCAACCAAAGGCAGTCAATTGCAATGTTGGGTTGTTATCGGATCCTTTTATTTTGCCTTCTCTTAATATATCAAAAAGATATCAGCACCGAGCAACAAATCAATACGTTGCGGCTTGTGGAATTGAGGATCAGCTAATTGTACATTATCAGGTACCTTGATCTCTTCAGTGTGCTTCTCTGGTTGATACGACGAAATGGAACGTAACACACCAAAGTCTGTTCGGATTTCTATGTCGTCCGTTCGGGACGCTATCGAAGTTTGAACGCTGTGCCGAACAGATGACTGACAATTAGCAATGCCCAACAATTGAATCCCAGATCTTTGCCGTTTTAATTTCAACTGTTTTGCCAGTTCTTCAGTTATGAAATTTACTTGCGAGCCGGAATCTAATAAAGCTCTAGCTAAGTGATAAGATCCAGATTGATCTTTTATCTTCACAACTGCAGTTGCCAAAAGAACTTGATCAGAGGCTATCCGTGCGTGATTTACAGATGAAATCTGTGACGAAGTGACACGAGGGACTGCTGATACAACTGCTGAGCTACTTTGAGCCGCTTCAGAGCTGTATCTATGCAGTATGGTATGGTGCGGCTTAGAGCACACACGACAGTGGGCTGATTTGCAAGCAGCCACTGAGTGTCCTGTTCGCAAACAATTTATACAGAGCGGATAGCTCTTTGCGAACGTAAAACGTTTCTGGCAAGGTATTGCTGCGAACGACGAGCACGAGTGAATGAAGTGATCGTTCTTTTTACAAAACACGCATTTGGGACTCTGCGGCTCACTTGGCAGAGCGACAGCTAGAGAAGTTTTCCCAATTCTTTTCTTATTATCCTGAGCTACCTTACGACGTGGACCAGATGAGTCTTCAGCACTTAAATGCTGATACCGTCTGTTCAAGGCAGCTTCACAATCTTGCCACAATGGAAGCTTATTGTAGTCAAGATTCTCTTCCCACCTAGAGCGCGTGCCAGCGTCCACTTTCATCATTACCAAATGGATGAGCATGGCATTCGAAATCTGCTTATCAGATCCTAGCGATAAAAGAGATTCGTAAATGGCACGGACTGAGTCTATCAGCATGCGCAAAGATGATGCTGACGGTTCGGACATGTGTGGGAGATCAAATAGTTTTGAAATGCTGTTAAAAAATATGAGACACTGATTGTCGTACACATTTTTTAAAGCAGCTAACGCTTTTGGATAATTTGCATCTGTCACCTGATATGCCTTGACAGTGCCTAATGCTTCTTTGTCCAAGCATGACAACAAGTGGTTAAACTTTTCTATATTTGATAACCCTGGCTCGTTGTCGACTAAACTCTCAAAAAGTCCAATGAAATTCTTATATTCCGAATATTCTCCGCTAAACTTTGGCAGCTTTATATTCGGTAGATTCCTAGAATGTGACACTGAGCTAATCATTGTAGAGTTAGCGGGACTCTCACTTTTAGGTTGGCTATCACTACCTCGCTTCATAAGAAGTGCTTTTGTCGATACACACAAATCTTCTAACGTTGACCGAGGCACTAAATCTGCGTTAATGTCGTCCAACTCTTGTTGTGTCTTAAAGGCCTTTTCTATGTAGCGGTTCAATATCTCAAGTCGACATTCAATTTCAAATGGCTCTACTGGTTTAGTGTAATCTTTTAATGATTTATTAATGCGTGTTATGTCGTTTGTAACATTTTTGTAAACGGCCAACAGAGCTTCGACACGCTCTGATGATGACTCGTCCATAGACCTATTCTTTCCTCGCTTGTTAGTCATGATGCTATAAGTGATGCTCAGTTGAAACCAATTTCAATCGAAACAAATAAAAGTTCACTTAATGTATGACAACAAGCGAAGAGCAATTCAAGAATGTTAACAAATGCGCGCGATCGTAATAAATCTCAATATATTACGCTGGCAGTGTTAAACTATACTTGAGTGACTGTTACGATATAGCGAAGACAACAACCAAAATGTTGAGTGACTATTTGGGCAAGTGGTCTATTGAGTTATATTTGACTGTTGAGCGACTGAGTGCAATGCATTCATAAGCGAGAGCGCGCCGGTATGAATGCCAAAATATAAGTGCAGATCGAGCTCATACAATGAGCGCAAAGCGAGAGTGCAAGTTTTGAGCGAAAATATATCCAAGTGACGAGCGCACGTTTTGAGCGCAAAGCGAGAGCGCTGCTGCGTGTGCAAGCGTGGGTGCAAACGATATTGCAAGTGAGTATGCAATGAGCGCAAAGTGAGCGCGCACTAATATGTGCAAGCGAGACAGTAAAACGAGAGCGCAACTATAAGTGCAAGCGCGAGTGCAAACGATATTGCAAGCGCGCATGCAAATGATGAGCGTAAATTAAAGCGAAATTTGCTGTGTAAGCGCGAGTGCAAACGATATAGCAAGTGAGTATGCACTGAGCGCAAAGTGAGCGCGCACTAATATGTGCAAGCGAGACAGTAAAACGAGAGCGCAACTATAAGTGCAAGCGCGAGTGCAAACGATATTGCAAGCGCGCATGCAAATGAAGAGCGTAAATTAAGAGCGCAATTATCTGTGCAAGCTGTGAGCGCAAGCGCAAAACGAAAGTGCGAGACGAAAATGAGCAAAAAAACTGTAACACACTAGCGGCGCCAAAGAAAACTTGGATTATGCGAGGCAATAGAGATTGAATTATTTGCAGATCAAAGGTCAATATGCACCTTATTATTATTTTTATTTATTTTTTTTTAAATTTCAATTTGAAATAAGCTCAACACAATGTACATAGGCGTAGATTGTACATACATTAATATTTTGTATGTCTCAAGTAATGCATTTATTTATTTATGGCTTGCATTACTTGGTCATCTATGTGCTCTATGTATTTATGTACTTCCCTGATTATCCACAAAATCCATAATCCAGCTTCCTTCAATTCCAGAGAGTGTCCACCCGGGGGCGCCAAAAATGTCCTTCCAAAAGGAGTCTGGTCCTTCGATGGCCAGTGTATAATATTTATAAAAAAGTAAGAGGACAGCAACTTGCGGTCTCTCTGAAATATACGAAGTGCTGGCACCGGTGTTCAATTTTGTACTGAATTTATTAAATTTAACATGAACGCAAGCGCAGCTTGCACAGTAGAGAGCGCACCTATGCGCATCTAACAGCGAGCAGCGAGAGAGCGATCTTTTGGAGAGCGACACTCCCGTGCTAGCGCGTACAATAACAACTTCTCTGTACAGTGGTTCAGCTTCAAGTACTTAACCTATACAATTTCGATAATAATTCAATTAATAATTCATAATAATTCAATTTCTTATAATAATATATAATAATATTTCAGAAGGCAAATATCCAAATGCCTTAACAAACATCCAATTAGATCTAATATCGATTTTTCTCTCTACTTAAAAATTGGTAAAGATATATTAATTCAATTTTAACTGTTCAATACCTCCATATACTTACCAGAATTTTCGAATATTATATATATTTGCATTTTCGTTAGACTTCTCGAGGGCTTGCCCTATTAAGTATGTGCAATTCCGAAATTCCATCCATCAATATGTCACTCATTCTGGTATGGTATAAGTAAATGTAATTTAATTATTTGTGCAATTCCTATATGAATATATATATTTTGCTACTGAAGTGGTTCTTCTTTTAATTTATGGAAAATTGCCAATAGTTGACTAAATGCAGGTTTTTTGTAAAGCTTATATATATAAAAATATATCTGAGCACCTACTGATATTGGAAAAACCAAATCAACTATATTCCAGAGTCCTATGCTGTAGTCTAGTATCATCGGAATGGGCCTCTATGCTATATTATTAGTTGTTTAATTTACTGCACAGCTCTTTACCTCTTTGACGCAGTTTTTTAATTTCTGCAAATACAGGTGTATTTGCCAACTCTATGTCGGGGCTAGAAATAAAAAACACACACTCTCAACTCAACTGCCCAAACTTCAAGAACAAAGTTTAGCGCGAAAACTTTCTGAGGGCCGATAATAAAACATGCCACAGTTGTGGTTATTTTTGGCCTTTTTTTTGTTTCTTTCCCTGTACCTTCTTTTCGGTTAATGAAAGTGGCAGTAAATGAAATTGGCATCACGTTATTATTCTTTTGCCTCTTTGTTGCTGTTGCTGTTGCTGCTGGCCAGACATGTGGGCCTCGCAAAAGTTTATCTTATAAAACAACAACAAGCACTTAAGTGTTATATGCCACCGTATTACAACGGACGAGCCGTACCAAACGGAGAGCCAAAGTCGCGCTCAGAACGACCCAAAATGCAGTGTAGCATAAATGAAAGAAAGCTGATAAGAAAAGCAACATACATACCTACAGTAAAAACAGCAACAAAAAAAAAAAATCGAATATAAATAAAAAGAAACCCTGCTAAAAAGGCGGCACAAAATTGCTGCCCGCATAAAGGTAGACGAGCAGCCAGAAAGATGTGAGAGGGATCGTGCTGAATGTAATAATAAAATAAAACAGAAATTGAATGTTGCGATTCGTTTCCGTGGCGTATCCAGGTGACAAGCAATTCCCCACAGGTGAAACAGTAAAGGTGTATATATATGTACATATATATGTACATACATATTAGCAATTGCCCTTAGCGCTATAAAACAAGCTAAACATTTTGACATGGGTTGCAGCACTCACCAAAGCTGTGGGTAGGTGAAAATGAGGTGTAGCCGTAAAGTCCTAACGGCTGACCCTTTCTGCGCCTGGGTGTTGCACCCATGTCACTGCACTGACAACTGGCGTTAACCAACCTGGAAAGAAAGTCAGAAATCATAACGTATCGTCTCATATCATATCATGTCATATCACAGCGCTCATACATACGTTTTTAATGAGTTGCAGTTCGTTTTACATTTTATATTTATTTTTATTTTACTTTTGCATTCTTATTTCTGTTGCCTGGCATGCAACGAATATTGCATTTCCGTTCGTCGTTTCTGGGACTTTCTTATCTGCCACAGTTTGGTTACTTATCAAAGAGCGCTTCTTGGCGTCTGTCTGTCAGAGTCTTTATGATATGTTTGCCCCTTAAGTTGAAAGTGCCAAAAAAACACATGAAGAGATATGAATTGCCGTCTCCGGATTTCGCGTTTGCCAATTAGCAGCAGCTGCGGCCATTGGCATGCAAATATTTACGCAGCAGAAGAGATACAGGGAGTTTCAAGTGGATGCCCAACTTCGCCAAGAGCATTAATTGATGTGCTTCTAGCGAGTGTTCCTATTAGTAGATACCCTCTCTTTGCATCATTAGCAAATTCTGGTTAAGAATGGTGTATAAGTATATAAACTCGATTTTAGAGAAACTAAATGTTTCCTCTCAGTGCTCATATCTATTTGACACAGTTACAATCCATCTGTTTATAAATAGAAAAATTAGTTAGATTACAATTTTAATCAAGGTACAAAATATATATACCTTACCCACTTACCCACTAATTAAAAAATTTAAATGTTTTAAATAAGTATTAAAATATTTACATACAAAACTCTGGCATATTCTTCTGCTGTAAGAACTGCTAAATACCCTGTTAATTCTATACGTTTTCTTGAATGCCAGGTATACTCGTACACACAAACTCACACACACACACACACACACACAATATCAGATCGCGTGTGTGTGTCTGTGTGTGACATGAGACATTATAATGCCACATTATGTTGCCAGTGCGTGAAAGAACCGTACATCAGAGCACAACATCCATAAATCAAAATCCACAAACACATGCGACGCTGTTGTCTATGCGCTGCTCTTAGCTCTTAGCTGCGCTGGCTGCGCAGCATGCGTTGACTTTGCTGTCTGCGTGTGTGCAGCTTGTTTGTATCTGCTGCGAGTATTCGCAAAAATTATTACACTTGACATGATTGAATATACCGCTGAGTATGCGAGAACATACATAACTGCAGCCATGTGGATGCACACACACACACTTACCTACATACATACACACATGCAGAGGTACCAGTCGCTGGACATTGGCCCACTCGCAGCGCCCGTGCCCTCCAAGTGTCCACGACTCTTGCTTGTTCTGCTGCTGCTCCGACGTCTGCGGCTGCGGCTGCGACTGCGACTGCGAGTGCGGCTGAACATAGTTTTTGCGCTGTCCCAGTGGGCAATTCCCGTTTCGCTGCATGTGTAGTGTGTACTAGGTTGACATGGCGCATGAATGTAAGCGGCCACAATGTTGTACACAGTACGCCGTACTAAATTTTCAATTAAAATTAAATACAAAAATTATTTAATAAACGGCGAATGGCACTTGTTTAAATTGGCAATGTTTGCAAAAAGTATCGATAACGATATATATTACTCAAATAAGCTCAGCCGCAACTATTTTGCTCTGTATGGAAATATTATTTTTCAGCTTAAATTAATTTTAGTAAATGGCCAAAATATATGTTTAATGTATGTATGTAAAAAATTAAGAACACTTTTTTTAGAAGAAACAGACATCAACTATTGCAGCCCTGTCTATGCTGTCGATATCGATAGCGATATTATTTAAAAACTAGCAAAAATGTTGGTTTTAACTGCTGCTCTGGACTGTAAAAACTGTTTCAAATTGTGGGATATTTTTGTCATAATGGTCTCTCAAACATTTCAATCATTACACACAATACAACACAACACAACACACACCAGCACACACACTCCGTTTAAATTCCGCCAAATCTGTCCGAATTGTGCAAAATTTCAGTGAGCCGAATGCAATTTCGGTGAAATTGTTATTAAAAGTCGTAAATTTCAGCTGTTGCCATGTGTTTGGAGACCACATTGACCAAAAACAAGACATTGGCTCTGATCAATCAAGGGTACCAGGTCCTCGCCGAGTATGAAATGATAGAGCAGAAGAAACTGAGGGGCATCTATGCGATACCCAGCTATTCCAGTCTCTTGCTTTGGTTCGGTGTGATCTTCATTCACAGCGGCATGTATTCGGAGAGCGCATTCCGCTTCTCTATTCTGTTGCCCGATAACTTTCCCGACGAAAACTGTCTGCCCACTGTCATCTTTCAGAAGGACATCTTTCATCCGCACATTTGCCCCATATCGCACAGCCTCGATCTGAGCCCCGTTTTTAAGGATTGGCACAAGGATCAGCATCATATTTGGCATATACTCAAGTATATCCAAGCTATATTCGCCGATCCCGAGGGCAGCGTCTGCAACACCCACAACGGTGAACCGATTCCATTGACGGATGTCAATAATATGGAAGCAATGCGTCTCCTGGCCAACAATCGTGTGGACTTTGCTCTGCGCGCCAAGGCTAGCATCGTTTGGAGTTGGAAGCATATGTTCGATAAGCCGCCTATCAATGATCCACATTATATCATTTTCGAGCGCTATCGTCCCGAAAAGCACCAGGCCATGATGAAACGCATCAAAAGCAGTAGCTGGTACTCTCTTCCGACGTCGACGTCGCCGCCCTCGACATGTGTGGCCCGCATCGAGTCCGCTCGGCAATTGCTCGCGGAGGAAGAAGCTCAAACTAGAGGATTTCATAGTTTGGAAATGGTGGAGTGAGCACTTGACTAGCGCATTTTTATTTGCATAAAAAATGTTCTGGTCAATGTGCGTGCACCCTAGTTGTCGTTTAACAACATACACATACATATACATACATAGATGTGCAACACTGATGTTAAGTATTTTACAAACGATGTTCCGATTGTGTGCTGACAATAATTAAATTTAAAAGTGAAACTGTCATATTTGCCTACGAAACTAACATATTGGATAACATCACTCGCATATAACAGTATGTTAATTTGCAGCCAAAACTTTCGATATCGATACTCTGCGAATTTATTTATAGTCCAAGCTGCGTGTTTTGTTTTACATGTTGCACTATACTTGGGTAAAAGCAGCTCATTGAGGTGAACCGGCTCACTCGCTCTTTTTTGTGAAGTGAGCCAACTCACTCATATGGCTCACTGGCTCACCTGCTGATTGCCCGTGAGCAAGCAACTTGAAAGAAAAAAACTGTCAAAATACGTTACATTTAAACTAAAAAAAACGACATTTAAAATTTGTTTCTTAAAACTAACAGAACAAACTTTTAATAAAATATATATTATTTTAGCTCCCTTCATTGGGAATATAATGAGCGAGTGAGTAAAAATGCGCTAGTCAACCAAAATGAGCTAGTGAGCCAAAATGAGCCATATAGAAGGAACTGGCTCACTGCCTCAGTTCAGTGAGCCATTCATTTTAGCTCACTCACTCATGAGCTACCCAAGTCTATGTTGCACATTATTAGAATTAATTCTGATTCTGTAGAATGTTACGAAGTCTTCGCTTGGCATTTATCCAGTCCCACACACATATATATATTTATATCGGTACTATCGTATGAGGTGTATATACAATATTGACAGATAATTACAATGGCAGTGCAAAAAGCATATCTGTAACAATCAACTCGTATTTCACTTTCGCGAGCTATAAAATTGTAGTAAATGTGTGTAATACATAAATGCTAATTAGTGGAAAATATGAAGTGTGCAATTAGCTAATCAAATGCCACTTAGTACGAGCGCGTATAATGAGTTTCAATGTGAACAGTGTGTATGTGTGCCGTGCTTCTAAATTTGAAGCCTGCAATTCCTATTGGGCATGTCTGCATATCTACAATGCACGTGAGTGCGTTTGTAACGCCTCTTACTCTAATTTTATGCATTAAAATACATATGTACAAAATTACATATGTACCTACTTTTAAATAATATATTTTTCTGTAGTGCTCTACATCGATCAATTAGTGTTTTACATTAATTACATCATTCGACACGCTGTGTTTGCGGACTTGCTCACAGCCAACGCTTGATTCTATTCTTACATATTTACAAATATGTATGTATGTGGATGACAATTGTATGGGTGCGTTACTAATTATCTGTGGTATATACATGTATGTATTACATGAGTGTATGCGTGAGTAATAGCAACCGTAAAGTAAGAACAGTTCGCAAAATCACGAGTATGGGAACAGCTTTCGATTCAGTGTTTGATGTATATGCTGTTCTCACTGTTATATTGAGTGCATTTAAAGTGGGAACAAAAAACATGAATGTGTGAGTAATCTCAACAGTAAAGCAAGAACAGTTGCGCAAAATCACGAGTATGGGAACAGCTTTCGATTCAGTGTTAATGGATTAAAGTATATGCTGTTCTCACTCTAAGCAGCTTGTGTTGAGTGTTTTTAGAATGGGAACAGATAAACGTGTGTACATATGTATGTAATATGTTACGAGACGTTTTTACTATTCCACAATATGAAGAAATTAGTACTTTAACATATTGCAAAATCAAAGCAAGAAATTTGAATATGTTTGTATGTAAACTGTTACCAACTAAGTTATTAAATGGGAAATATTGCCTTAAAAATGACAACAATTTTGTTCAATGTCTCTACTCAGAAAATATTCTAGTTTGTTTTTATTATTTATTTATTGCTCTGACGTATAGAGTGCTGCACTATATTAATGATTTCAATATTAACACCTATAACATGGAATTATCTTTAATAATTATAATTAAGGATCCTATTACCTGTCACCAAAGACGTCACACAGTTACCGTTACAGATTGTGGCAACTTGTGCAATGTGCTGCAACTGCAACTGCAACTGGTATGGCGAAATATTAAAAGCTCGCACGCCTCTGCTCTGCTGGTGGCTGTCGTCAGCTGGTGCAAAATATACAAAAGTGACAATTTGATTTATCACTGCACTTTGTCCTGCTGCAGAGTCGGACTGCTATAGAGAGGGAGGGAGAGAGATTCATAGTGTGTGTGCGTGTGCGTGTCATAGAGAGAGAGAGAGAGAGAGAAAGAGGGAGAGAGAGGGTCTTTCTTTTATGGGCCTGGTCGTTAGGCAGTTGGCTGCGTATCCAAAAATCGTTCATGAAATTATGGATGCGAGTGCAATGTGCCATATTTTAGGCCATTTATGGTTGCCAAGTTGGCGCACATTTAGAGTACAGTGAAGCTTGAACTAATGGAAAGCTCTATTAAACAATAATAACTATTTAATTATTATTATAACTCTTCATATATACATTTTATTTTTTATTATTGTATTTTAAATTATTATTATTATTTTAACAAGATGTATAAATATGTGTACATATATGTATGTATATATATATATGATCAATTTACATCACAAAGAGTCTACGAAACGCAATCATTCTATAGATTGACGTCTACTTAGTATTATTGAGCAAAGAGCTTCCTTCGCAGCGAGCTTTTACTGTAATTGCCTGACTGGCGGATACATATACCAGCAGCTTCCTTCCCACAGAGACATGCACATGCAAGATGCTAAGTAGACAATATGGCAAATGCGCGCCAAACAATTTTGGTGGTCTACATTTCAATGGCCTCGACTTCATTCCATTTGACTATATATCTATTTGGTCTATCTATTCGACTCTGCTGCTATCTTTCAAGCTGCTAGCCAATTCGCTGTGGCTGCTTCCTGTTTGCCAACACTTAAACAGAATAACATTATGCGCTTCGAATATGGGAATGAAATGTGATTATATGTATTATTTAATATGATAGTGTCTATGGAAATGCTGGGTAAATACGTATACCCTAGAGTTGCCTAGAGAGAATGAACCTCTTCTCACTGTCTTAAGATTTGAAATTAGATATGTTTAGTCGTCTATATAATAAGTATTATTGGTTAACGTAACTCCTGTGAAAATTATATTATGAAGTGTACTGCATTCAGCTCAAAATAAAAATTATCATTAAAAATAATAAAATATAATTTTGATAAAAAATTATATAATCCTTTATATTTTTATAATTTGTTTTCGATACCTCACCTCATTATTATCGATAGAAATCGACAATTTAATGTAATTCTTATATAAATATTTTACCCATTTAGAAAATAATGTTAATGAATATTGAAACTTTATGCAATGTTTAAATAAATTAAAATTATTTTATTATTATTATAATTTTTTTTTTTAATAATCTGTGAATAAAAAAATCCCATCTATTTTGCCTTTTGAGTTAGGGTACCTTTTAGTCGAACACTTTCAATTATCATTTAAACTGATTTCTGAAATTCAACATTGTTATCTACTAGATGATCTTCATATCCGTTCTTCATGCCAACAAAAGATTCGCTGGCTTTGTTTCAACTTCATTTAAGGGGCGTTGTTTCCAAAATGAAGATACATACATACATACATACATATTTATCGTATATAGGCGTCAAGAGCAGAGAACAGCCAGGAACAACATTAACAATTAAGTTGTAATAAATTATATCGCTGCGTGGGCTGAATTAAGACTCGAGCGAAGAGTTGCGTATTTTCTTTCAGTTTTATTTCCAATGGGGTTTTCAGCTTCAATTAAAGTGCCATAAAAATTGCTTCAAGCTGCGCGCGGCCAGCAACGCGTGACAAAGTATAAAGGCCATTGTTACTTTTTTTATTGAGATCTTTTTATTTTGGGGTTCTCGACTCAAATTCAATCCCTGGTGAAATCGGTATATATTGATTGTAGTATATGTGCATATGCCCCCGCTGTTGCAGTTATCAACGGACATCAAAACAATTGCCACCATCGAAGAAGTCGCAATCGGCGGTTTCGTTACGTTACGTTTAGCTTCATTTCGTTTCGTTTCGTTTCGTTTTCTTTGGCTGACAAGTAAGCCAAAATGCATTCAAGTGCAATTGCAAACGGCATGAGAGCAACAGGTAAAATTGAGCCGGCTGCCTCTCGTTGAACTAACCCGTGGGCAGAGTATCAAAGCTTCAGAGGTTCAGTTTTTTTTTTTTCGGCTTCGATTTCCTTGGAAAACCGCTAGAGACTTTGGCATGGGCTTGTGACTGCCGACTGCCGAGTGCCGAGTGGCGACTGCTTAGCATTTGGCTGGCCAAGACGCTGTTGTCGTCGCAGATTGGTATTTATATGCAAGTTCATGGCATGGCCGAAGCGCGCACACACATCATCATCGATTATAATCGAAATGGGATTGTAAATCAAATCGCATTCAATGGCACTGACTTTAAAATGGGCTTCATTATCGCCGCAGTTGCAGTCGCACAGCCTCTGCTGCCCCCCCCTCTCCCTCTCTCTCGCTCCCTCTCTCGCCTTTTCCATTGTCGGTGGCAACTGTGCAACTGCCGCGTCGTCGAAGTGACATTCAATGCCATAATTTATGAGTTTATCTTTTTCGCGCCGCCAAATCGTACGCTAAATGCTGTCTGGACCAGAATCGAACAGCACAAAGTAGAAGAGAACCCGATCCAGAGCAGAGACCATGCCATACCATACCATACCAGACGAGACCAGACCAGGCCATACCATATGCCCCATTCGTCGTCGTCGTCGTCGTCGTCTGCTGGTTCCTCTTGGTTTTCGCATATGCAAACAAACGGCAAACAAAACCAAAACGTGCGCATATTTTATGGCGCTGCGAATCCCATTTGTATTGGTATTGGCATTGCTATTGGTAATGGTAATGGTAATGGTATTCCTATTGCTATTGCTATTGCAATTGCTAGCGCTGCTGCTGCTGTTGCTGCTGCTGTTGCTCTTTCAGTATTTCTGTTAGCTATTCGATTTCTCGCTGTGTTCGATTTCTGACTTTGCTCAAATGCCGACGTCGTTTAATGTCGGGCAATTAAAATTGGAGTTCTCTCTCGCTTTCTGAATATGCGCTGCCTTTATTTCTATGAGTTATG